TGGTGGTTTGGGGGGAAACAGTCACAGCCGCTTTCATGATGACATTTTCAGCCGTGGTTTAGACAGCTTCAGCAGCTTTTCAAAACTGTATAAAAAGGTAAAATGCATCTGGATCATAGAAACACTGCGATGGGTTGGCGCCCCATCCTGGGTTATTCCCCGTCTTGCGCCCATAGGCTCCGGACCCCCGCAACCCTGGATAGAATGAGCAGTTTCAGAAAATGGACGGATGGATGGATGGATGGATGATAGAAACATGAATGTCACGGTGGGTTTGAATAGCATATCACACAACCACGGCAGGACTCCTGCACTGTCTCATCCATAATCTGGTCTGGAACCCCTTCAATGATCTGATAACGTGCTGTCATACATCTGTCCTTCAAGATAAACCCTGCAAAACGGTTGCTGTACTTTGCTAAAACAATCAGGTGTTTCCCCACCATTACTCAGACGCCGCAGTTCGCCTGACAGTGTGGAATAATCCTGGTCAAAATAGCCACTGTAAGTTTTCATAGCAGCTCAGGGTAACCTAATAGCTGCATAGACATAATGGGAAAGTATGTCTTACCTCGAGAGTTGGTAAAAGAAATGGCTGATAATCGCGAATGTAGCGGATGTCACAGGTCCAGACACTAAACAACAGGCCAGAGGCTGCAGAAGATTACAGCTTAACAGAGGATTAACAAAGGGGCTGTGTGGGGTCACTACAGTCCTGTAGGATAACCGAGCATAATGGTGCTGAAGTGTATATAAAACTCACGTCAATACAAACTGTATGACAAGGAGGCATTTGAGATGAAAAACTAAAACCAAGTTACCCCACCTATACTCTCACTGCAGCTGTACACTCTCAGTTTAACAATAGCACATTGCCTCATAGTAAAATAAACACGCTGGCAAAACCTGCCACATCGGCACGAAACATACTGTACCTGAGAAATGCAGCGATGGCCTGCACTACTGTCACCACAGCCGGTACAGACGTCCAGAAGGCACTGGGGTCATTTAGATCTACTTTTAGTGAAGAGTGACGCCAACTAACCATGTCAGCTATAAATGCATGGAACTGCACAGACCTGTGCAAACAGCGGACGTGTTGCCAGCCAAGAGCAAAGGAAAGTGGTTAGGGTTAGTATATAGGGTTAGTTATATATAGGGTTAGTTATGGTTAATGTGCAATTTGGCAACATATGAATGGGTTAATAGCCCTAAGTCTAAATGAGACAGTCGTGTCCAGCACAGTATTCTTTGGTCGGTGGCCTGTTGGGAACAATGCCGACCCCTTAGAATTTTGGGTTATATATGTCTATACATATTTATTCATTATTATATTGTACCCCTATGATCAGGGGTGTGATTAGAGATTTTGGGCTCCCACCCAGACCAAACATATTATGTTCCAAATTTTTTAGAGCCCCTGTTAGGAATCGTTGTAACTGCGCCCCCCCCCCCCCTCCCTTTATGGAGACCCTGCCTATGATGCACAAAGAAGCCAAACATAAATGGGTTAATAGCTCTATAACCAAATGAGACAGACATGTTCAGTGACGTGTGTGTCACGATCACGTCCAAGGAAGCAGGAGCAGGGAGACAGATAATCAGGAACAGGATTTATTACGGGGAAAACAGGGAAGCAAAGGACAGCAACGGACGAACATTAATGACGGATCTGATGATCAGACGTAGACTTAAACACACGAGACTAAAGGACGGAAATGCAAAACAGCTGAGAACAATCAGGAATTCACATGAGGTAATGAGGGGGGCGTGGTACACACGAAGATCGTACGAGCAGGTCATGACAGTGTGCTTTGGTCAGGACTCTGGGAGACAATGCACCCCCTTGGATTTTCAGGGTTAGGGTTAGGGTTAGGGTTAGGGCATTGGCATTTGGTTTCAGGGCTATTAACCCAGTCATGTATTGCCCCATTGCACATTAATCAGAATCAGAATCAGAACTCACTTTATTGGCCAGGTACAGGTGCTTGTACAAGGAATTTGTTTTGTCAGTATTGGTGCTTTACACTCACAGATAACATAGAAGAACAAAAAACATAAATTAAGAAAAAGATAAATATAAATAATAAAGGAATAAAATAGTGCAGCGCAAGCTGAGCAATATACTGACAATAATTATAAGTGTCCCATCCTACCTGTCCTGTCTGCCACACCCCTCCTGTTTCCCTCCCTAGCGGCCTAACAAGCCACACCTGGTGCCCGTTTGGTCTTACCTCTCATTCCTGTCCTCTCGTCAGTCACTGCCAGCTGCCTCCTGTTTGCTCCTTTGTAGATCCTGTATTTAAATGCTGCCCAGTCCTCAGTTCCCCAGTCCAGTCAGTGCTGCTTCTCCCTGCTTCTGTTCCTGATAATAAAGTCCCCTGTGAGGGTATTTTGTTTCACAGCCTCCGTCTGGGTCGTGTTTCCTTTTGTCGGCAAGACAATAAGAACATTAAAGGGTTCAGAGGTCCTGAATAGTGTAATATAAAAGTATGAAAATATATGATGTGCGGTAGATTAAAAAGATGCACAAAGATGCATGCAGAGAGACTGGGGGGTGTTGATGGATACAATATAATAATAACTATAACAGACAAAGATAACATGAAAACCCAAAGGGTGTGTCGTCAAAAATATAAGGAATCTGCATCGTCCCCTGAGTCCACCTGAATATGGAATAAGAGGGTAACTTTACTGCGACTTTACGCAAAGGGGGGGGGGGGGGATTCGTCCGCTTTCAAAATCACACCGTAATCACCTCACAGTAGCCTTATAACAGAGACTTTAAACAAGTATAGTTCCCCAGCCACTCCGAGGTATTTATTTTACGAGCTAAATCAGCCACCCCCCCCAAAAAAATAAAAAAAAAATAAAAAATATGTAATGATTTATTTGACTAAACCGTTTGCTGTTTCAGTGAGTTTTCATGTTTCTCTCCCAGGTGCCGGTGGGGAATCCCCTGTTTTATACGTCACAGAGGGAGATAATGTCACTCTGCCGTGTAAAAATGTACTTTATCCTGGCTGCTCCTCAACTACGTGGCTCTATGCTGGGAGGTCAAACGGAGCTGCTGTTGAACTGGTCACTCATGGGAAGATCAGAGACCCACAGAAACACAGGAGACTAAGTTTGCTGACTGACTGCTCTCTACACATTAATGATGTCAGCGCTGAAGACGCTGGATTGTATACATGTCAGAAGTTTACGTATGAAAATGGACCGAAATACGGAGATGATACTGATGCTTTCCTGTCTGTTCTTACCGGTGAGTGTTTCCCTTATGAAATATTATTGCGCTTGAAATTTATCATAAACACGACCAGTTGTTTAACATTTTTATATATTTATACATGAAGTTTTTCATGTGGTAATTAAGCTTTTATGTCTGCATGTTCTCTCTTTGGTTATACTGATGGCTGTAGTGCATCTGTACATTTTATCCGCTGTCATTTTAAGACCTAGAAAGAAAGAGGAGATAAAGAAAGTGACATGAGGTGGAATGTTTGCTTTCTATGTTCTTACAGTGAGAAAGTCACGGTCTGGCGGCACTGTGACCCTGCAGTGTCTCCTGAACAGCTATTATGGTCCTGGACGGTGTCCCCCATCTCTCACTCTGCGGTGGGTTAGTGACACAGACCCCCCGGGGCAGAGAGATCCCAGCTCCCAGACAGACACAGACCGCTGTAACTCCACTCTGCCGATTAACCATAGGAGGACAGAGAAGGACCAGACGGAATGGCGATGTCAGCTGCTGGATAAGGGGAAGGTGAAGCTCACATCCAGCCCTGGTAGGAACTCTCCTTCTCATATCTGACAGCTGATCTGTCTCTGTAATGTCAGGCACTAGACAGAGAATTAAAGAGTAAACTGAATATAAACCTACCGCTGTTCATAAATAGTATCAAAATTAAGCCCATTCCCTTTCAGAATAGAATTTGTCTTTTGTAGATTAATTTCTTTAAAAATCAATTATTCAGAGAAGTACCCAAATGTTAAGCATTTTTAATAAAGTAAGTTTATAACAAAAGTTCCAGGCTGTTAGTATTCATTATAAAGGTCTTTTTATGTTTCACAAAAGAACTTCAGAATTGTTTCATGCTTTGAACATCTTCATAAACAGCACTTTATTAAAAACAGGCATTTTTCTAGAAATTCCCCCCTGCTGAAAATGAGAAGGACAAAGCAAACTGTAATTCAGTAGCACAGTGTATTACTGCAGCTGCTTATTCAGGATGTTTAATTTTAAAAAGATCAGGTTCCCTTAACAGGGATGAAAGTGTGTTTCCACACCCAGATTCACTTTTTAATAAAGTGCTGTTACTGAAAAGCTCATCATGGAAAGATCTTAAGTAACTTCCAGCTTCATTACTGTTTATCCAGAACAGGGTCGTGGTAAAACTACAGGAAACAAACACAGACCTACAGAGAAAACATCCACAGCCATTTCTGTGACTGTTCGACTTTCTCCTACAAAACCTCAGTGTGAGACCCTTTTACCAAAATAACATGAGTGTTTAGTCCTTAACAGTGTCTGATTCAAGTTAACATTCTCCAGCTGGTTAGTGGTAGAAACTGAGCAAAAAATTCTATGTGTTTGTACTCAACTGACAGACAGTCCTGAAGGCAACCTTGATCATAAGGGAACTACACTGGAAAAAGGTAGAGTATCTGATATCTGGTTTCTAATTTTTTATTACTTACTGAAGACACTAACACACTGGTTCCCATACTAACCATACAAGTCACACAACTGTAGATGTAACAGCTACTGGAGCAGGTACAGTGATATCATTTCTGGTTTCTATTCTTTACCTTCATAGTTGTTTTGTAAGAGTAATACATAGAGGATGTGACATTTGTCAAAATGTGAGTGAGTTTACCATTAAGGTATTTATCACTGTGTGTTTAAATGTCTGACTAATGCATCAGTATAACGACTGAAGACAAATGCATTCATGTAAATTTGATTAAGACGCTCATATCCTGCAGGATCCCTGAATATATGCAGCCGTTTCTCTGACAGTCAGACTTATGCGCAGTCTGCTTCATTAATCCCTTTCTGACACTATGCAGTGTGACGCTTCACTGTCACCTTCACTGTCAGCATGCGTCTCCCTGACCCTCCACGTGGTGTCACTCCGATAACATGACAGTGCTTTTCTCCTAGTGCTCACTCCCCGGCTCTTCTTCTTCTTCCTGGCCCTGATCGTCCCTCTGGTCACTGGAGCTGCTGTTTACACCAAGAGGAAGAGGAGCATCGCTCAGCGCAGTGACTGCACCAGCAGCGTTTCTTTCCATAGGCGACAGACTGATGAATGAAAATTATCTGCAGTGTGGCAGATATACAACGTGTTTAGAGACACTGTTACATGTGTAAGATCTGTTATGCATGTGGTGCCTGTTTGAAAATGCACTGGCCCAGAGTTACTTACTGTACTTCTAATATTATTCTGGCTTTGATGCTAATCAGATATTTATCTATCGATAAATCTGTATTTTATTGAATTATACCACATTCCTGCCTATAGTTTTACGCAAACATTAGTCTCCAAGGTTTCAGCTGATGTCGTGTTCAAAACTGCTCTTTTACACTCGTGTGTTTAACTTTATGTATCTGTGATTTCATACTGGACTTGCTGTGAATCTCCTTTCAAATATTGATGGGAAAACTTTCAATTTTTATGCTCAGAATAAGGGTTATTTGTTGCAACCACTGATTTTTATTATATAATGTAGCATATATTTTTAATTGTGACCTGCAGTTATATCATGTGTGTATATAATGAGAGCAGTGAGCCCTGCTCTCTCAGTAGCTCCAGAGAGGAACAGGGCGGCCCTACAGCCTGCCAGTGACCTGCAGTTATATCATGTGTGTGTATAATGAGAGCAGTGAGCCCTGCTCTCTCAGCAGCTGTAGAGAGGAACAGGGCGGCCCTACAGCCTGCCAGGGACCTGCGGTTATATCATGTGTGTATATAATGAGAGCGGTGAGCCTTGTTCTCTCAGCAGCTCCAGAGAGGAACAGGGCGGCCCTACAGCCTGCCAGTGACCTGCAGTTATATCATGTGTGTATATAATGAGAGCAGTGAGCCCTGCTCTCTGCTCAGTCCTGCAGCTCTCCTGCATGTTGGTATGTACATTATGCAGAATGTCCCCCTTGGATCAATAAAGTTAAACTTGCTGAATTTCTTTGATTCATTGTATAAAATTTGAGTTTTAGCTGTTTTTCTCTCTGTCAGACCATTTGTACCTTTTTCCTGTGATCTCATTTTCTCTTGATTCCACCAATATATTCCAGCTGTTACCTTCCCTTGGGGTAGATGGGTATATGCATGTCTGTAATCAGTATGTGGTGTAAAGGGGCAGCGTGTGGCTCAGTGGGCTAAGCCGTGTGCCGTGTGCAAGGTCGCTAGTTCAAGCCCAGCCTCAGCACGTCTGTGGGTCCTTGAGCAAGACCCTCAACCCCCAGCTCCCTGGGTGCCCCTACAGGTGGCTGCCCTTTGCAGACAGCTTGCTCTACAAATAAGAGCAAGTTGAGGGAGGTGTAAAAAGAATTTCCCCACAGGGATTAATAAAAGTGTAAATTATTATTG